AATAGTATCTACTATCTGATAGCACAAGGAGTTGCTGCTCTTCTCACACCCCACTGCAGCCTTTGATCATCAGATATGGCTTTGAGCAAGCGAAGCAGGCCCAAGCACAGCTTCCCTATGGCAAGAATTCAGGTGCTTCATCGGACTGGTGGGCCACAGAAATTCTGAGGGTGAGCTGCTCTAGTCTGTCGCAACTATTCTTTTCTGCTTCTCTGCATATCCAAAATTCCCCAACCCCTTCTTAGCCATTATCTCAAATACCTTGCAAATTGAGTTGCTTTCCTCACCAAGTCCTTTCCCAACTTTGGCAAGGGAAACTTTGGCATTTGAAAAATACTTACCTGCTAATGAATGGGCCTCTGCCTCTCCTTATATCTCAGCGTCACACACACAAATGCACGCACACGCACACACACACACTGCTAGTCACATATTTATTTCACAAATTACTAAAATAATTGCATTAGAAATATAACTTGGGCACCGAAATGCAAGTTGGCAAACAATGAGCCCACAGAGAGTGAGCTGGCTTTAAAACTACGTTTGCCATATATTAAGCATGTTTCCACTAGCAGTTCTTAATTTGCTGCTCCACACCCATAGCTAGACCATACTGGTTTGATTTCAAAACTAGAGTCATTCTAGCAGTGAGATGCCCTCCCTGTCCTCAGGTTATGCCAACTAGAATCTTGTGGCCCTGTCTGCTGGTGCCAGGAAAGTACATGTTCTGTGCCTGGGTACACTTCTCCAATGAAGAATTCTTAGCACCTTTACAAAATGATTGTCCTTGAGGATAATCTTTAGGGTAAGTTACAGGAGTTGACCTGCTTTCAAAGTAGTTTACATTTGTACAGTAGGCATGAGTCGTCTTTCGAAAAGGACAAAAACAGCTTTCAAAACAGTTTTGCAGTATTGACAGCTATGGTTGACGTTTTATGGGGAAGCATGCAATCAAAACATGACTCTCATCTAATGGTGAAAGCTGAAAGATAAATGACCATTAACTTTCTATAGACCTTAAAGTACAAGATACATGAACCAAATATGGGCAGAGGTGTGGATCACTCCTGACTTCAGTTTGCATTTGAAGGATATAGTGGCATTGCAACACCATGGTCAGAATGGTACAACGGCACAAAGGTTAGTTGTGGACCTAGGCATGTAGGCACCTAGGCAAGATGTAGGACAACAATTCTGAGATTAAATCAGGCTTCAACTTTATTGACTACAGAAGGTTTTGGCATGTGCTGAGAAATCAACCAACCCAATTGCTGACTGGTGGTTGGTAGGGGTTGACCAAGGTTAAGGGTCTCCCTACGATGTACATCATATCTACACAACCCTTATGATCACGGACCCATCAGGCCTGAGCTGGCCATCTGGACATGCAGTACCCCCTCAGGCTCCTTTACAGGGATGCCCCATAACAATGGAGCAAGAAACTGCACTGGCTAAGATTTGGCCATGTGGTGCCACAGTCCAATGTTAACTCTTAAATATTATTTACTGGAATGCCTTTGTTTGTTTGCTCTGCCTGGACCTCCTTCCAAGGAGTTCAGAGTAGCTTACATACAATTCAAAGCTAGGCAGCTCTTAAGCCTGAGCCATTTATCAGGAGAACTACTGCTGCATATACTTTGAGATTGTGGTGGCTAACATGCAGCCCTCCAGACAGCAATAACAGATAGCTCCCATCAGCCTCTTTCAGCACGGCCAGTGGCCAAGTATGAAGGAAGCTGTAAGTTCAGCAACAGAGGCGGACTACTGTGTTATACCGTTCTTGTGCCCTGGTACAAACTGAGTCAAATTTGATGACAAGAGATTTGAGCTGCAGTTCAGCTGCTCCTCTCTCCTTTCAAGTTAGGTTTTAGTTTGTCCCTGAAATTATATTTATGGATGCCCTCCTTCCCATTGCTTCAACTAATGAGAGCTAGAGGCCACCATGCCATATCTATTTTGGAGAAATTGTATACTGTAAGTTATGCAGAAAGAGTCCTCAGCATCTGCTACCTTCAGTAACAATGGTAAAAAAGGATATCTGCCTTCTACCCTACCACACATTTTATGGCCAAACTGTTTATTTTGGAAGAGGGTAGGAGAGAGAAATCCTGCATCTTTAGCCTAGTTAAAAGTGCTCAATATATAATCTAGCAGAGTCCCTATTTTGAAACAAAGAAAGTAAACACCGAGAGAGAGCTATAACAGTTGTAAATGGATTGTGTATTGAACGGCTGCCAGAAAATTCCCAACTTGTTTGTTTTTAGAGGCCCCTTGTTACATAAGAAACCACTTGGTAAAAGTTACGGCAACCTTGATTCAACCAATGAAGAAGAACTACGCATACGTGCCAAGCAATCTGCATCCACACAGCAGCCAAATTGGGGAGGACAACAACCTCCCCTCTCAGTAAAAGTGTTCTGTAAATACAGTAACAGAAGTAACCTTGATTTGTACAATGTATTAAGTGAGAGTTCACTAAGATATGCTGAATGAGCCTATTTATTGTGTGCATGGGGGTGGGCGCTGTATTTTTTGGGGAATCCATATCTATAGAAAATGGTTCCACTTTAGCTTCTACCCCAAACATACCTAAGGGCCAATTCACACACTGAGGGAGTAGTCATAGTCAGTGTATATAATATACGTACATTCATGTTAGCAGGGATGCAAAGCAGCAGCTAAATGCATATGCTAGGAAGTCCCACATCGAGACTCACCTGAGCCACAGACAAACTTTGCTACCTGGCCTCAGGCTACTGTCTGCAAGATAAGGATAACACTACAGTGGTACCTCGGGTTACATACGTTTCAGGTTACATGCGCTTCAGGTTACAGACTCCACTAACCCAGAAATAGTACCTCAGGTTAAGAACTTTGCTTCAGGATGAGAACAGAAATTGTGCTCCGGCGGCACAGCAGCAGCAGGAGGCCCCATTAGCTAAAGTGGTCTTCAGGTTAAGAACAGTTTCAGGTTAAGAACGGATCTCTGGAACGAATTAAGTACTTAACCTGAGGTACCAGTGTACTAATCTACCTTAAAAAGTAAAGGATCCCTGACCGTTAGCTCCAGTCGTGGACGACTCTGGGGTTGCGGGGCTCATCTTGCTTTATTGGCCAAGGGAGCTGGCGTTTGTCTGCAGACAGTTTCCAGGTCATGTGGCCAGCATGACCACCTTACAGGCCTACTTTAAGAATGACTGAGGTAATGGTTAGGAACAACACTCAAAAGTGCCAATGCCAAGGATGCTAAAACTCCAGTCATTTCACACAATTATTTTGTTGTTGCACGACACAAAGTTTATCAGCTTGGCTGACCTAGACAAAGGACTTAAAGTATTAGGCAATATTCTGAAAATCAGCCTTTGCTCTCTGTGACACTTGTGCAACTACAGTATTATTACAGTCTGAGTAATATCACTGTGTAGTAGTTTAGCCTTTGTTCTACAGGTACCCTATGAAGATATTGCCTTTGGGCTTGCCCAACTGTCGGTGCGCACATGTGTAGCAGTAAGGTCTACCTAAGATAAATATTGAGGATGTCAGAAATGACTCACATTACAGCTTAAATCCTTTCCTGTATGCACAGCACTCATGGTGTATGAAAAATAACCACCTTGTCTTGGAAAAGACATATAACTCTGGAAAGGCAAAAAAACCCAAACCAAACAAAAATAGAGAGCTATGAGATAACACTCTTAGCAACTGAATTCAATCCACTCCTGTATAGGAGTGCTTGAAACAACAACAACAAAAGTTGTCTGAACTTCCCCCCGAAAGTTTGGGTGGGACAGCATCAACCTAGAGAAGCTTCTTGGGTCAGGCAAATGTAGTTTTAAGGTTCCCTGCCTTGCTCCCACATCAACAGTAGTATCAGCAACCACACCAATGCCAGCTTCTTCTCACTTGCTTCCCTGACATGCAGTGGGCAGTGTAATGCGAAACTGGTTGCTTATATCTCACCCGCTGTTCTTGCAGAAAGAACAATGCCCCTTTCCCCACCTGAATTCATGCCTGATTACAGAACTGAAGCAGCCCTTGTCACATTGATGGATGGATGACCTTTACTGAGAGTGGGATGGGGGAGAGCAACTCTGCTAATTCTCTCAACAGCATTCAGTACCATTGACCATGATATCCTTCTGGAGTGGCTCAGTGGGCTCAGTCTAAGGCATGGTGAGACAGTCATTCTGCTTCTACCTACAGGGCTGTCTCCAGAAAGCAGAGTTGGATGGCTGCTCCTTAACACCATTGAAGTTCTGCTGTAGGGTTGCCCATAATTCTTTCTTGTACCCATTGTTATATATTTTATGAACCTTACATAAATGACTGCCAACTATTAAGACCTTTGGGGGGGGAGGCCTTCTTGAGTATACAGCAGTTGGCCAGTTTTTGGTATGCAGCAACACAAGACAGGGCCTTCACAACAGTTCCCCCCACCATTATGGAGCTCCCTCCCTTCCTGAATTTTTTATGTCAGCCAAGAATGCATTTGTGTGCCCAGGTCTTTCTTATCTTGCTGGTTTTAGCTGATTTTGTATTTCTGTATGTGTATGAAAATGCTATTGTGTATTGTGAACTTGAAATTTTATTGTGACCTGCTCAGGCAGGAAAGAACAGGTTAAGTAATACTTTTTAGAAGTAAAATGATAATTAAATGAAGACACAATTAACTTGGCAACATTAGTGCAGACTGATGCAGAGAGTATGAAGGCCTTTGGTCTAGGGCAAATAACTTAATGTGGGAGTGGTGTTGATTAAAAAAGACTCCTCCTTTTGTCTGTCCTGAATCTCCTACCTTTCAGCTTAATTGTATGACTTCTGGTTCCATTGTTATGACAAAATAATAATAATAATAATCAAGACTTTTACTTTTGGACAATCATGCCAACAAAACACACACCCATTCATTCCCCAGAGCTCAAATTTCAACTTCCTCCATTATCAAACGACAACAGTAGATGGTGGTGCCAGAAGTCTATCTATGCAAACAAGGCAGTGAGTAAAAGTATTTGGAAGTTCTTTTAATGTACATTTCATTCATTAGAATAAAATCTTTCATTATGTTTTCCTCAATTAAGTGCTTAAAACATTTTACAAAGGGGGAAAAACACACCTAGAAGCAAGCGTACAAGCAAGCAAGCAAGAGCGCCATTCTGGTTTGTAAGGGGAGAGGAAAACACAATAAAGTTAAACAACAGAAGGTTTTCTAAGTCACAGTGGAGTACTTCTGCACAGCACAGACATCTGGGAAGCATATGTACAGGAAGCAAGCTCAGTCTTATACAACTCTAAGTTACTGGAATTACTAAGCAAGGAAACATCGTATTACCCTGTGCTTAAAATGTCATATATAGCTAAAACTCGGAGGGGAAAAAGAGTTGACAAATTCAATCTTGATAATCCAAGCGTCAAGACAGACATTCATTGGAGAGTATTCCTGGGACCCCGAGCTGTTTTGGACTCTCAGCTAATCAAGACTGTAGAATTTCAAAACAGAGTTTCCTGTTTCACTATCTACAAATGACGTCTGTGCTGGTGACTCAGTGCAAGCTGCGGAACACTAAATTTTCCCAGTGTAGAGTTTTAGTCTGTCATCAGAGATGTTGAATTTCCTCAGCAAGTAGTGCCTGAAGGCCATTATGCAATTTCATTATTTTAAATTAAAAGATTGCACTTGCGTACACATGAGAACTGTACTTCCTATTTCTGCTATTGCTAACGTACAGCTTCTAAGTGTCGAGATTTTTTTTAAAATGCACACCCCTTCCCAAGAGCTAGATTAACTAGATAGAAAACGTAAGACGAAATAAACAGGGGTTTCGTAATTAGTAGAAATAAGAAATCAAGTAGAGACAAGATTCAGTGAGCAATATACAGATTAAAAGTATGCTGTTAACATGATATGCCATAATCTGGCTACTTTGAGCCTCTCCAGATTTGTGACTGCAACCAGATACGATTTGAGAAAGTAGTCCAATGACAAAGGGTACAAAATGCTAGCATGAAGATTCTGCATAGCTGTTTCATTGTTTATGTGCTGACAAAGAAGATAAAATAATACTTGTATTAAAAACAGTAAATAACATAGATTTCCTTATTATTATTTAAATTCATTATACTTTAGAGGCTCATGGCAATCACCTCGCTACGGAGGCAGCAGAGATGGACTATTAGTATTGGAAGGAAGAAAATGATGAGTTATCAACTACCATTTTTTTTAAAAAGGCACTAAAAGTTGAGAATATATAGAGTGTTGCCATACACAGAAACAACCAGAGGAAATGTCTTTTTGAGAGACTAAACATGTGGACCCTCTCATTCTATTTATTCTCAATGTGACTAATTTCTTATTGTCTACCTCAGAGACAAGGATACATTGGCCATAAATCCCTGAAGTGTTTCAAAAGGCATAATTTGTTCAGAATGTTTACTTAAAAGAAAAAGTCAAACTGGGAGAAAAATAAACAAAGAAGTTTTCTTCAGAGGTACTTTAAATATAAGCTATATTTAGAAGCTGAAAAAAATAGAGAGATTTTAATTGTAACTCTCTTATATATATATTTCACACACAATAGAAAGAGAAATTACACTCATAGTACAAGTGCCTTGAATTGCAATACTGTCCCATCCCAATAAAAGTTGTGCACCGTACGTGTTTCTATTTACAACAGCCACAGTTAAGTAAGCAATCATTAATTTGTCATATGACTGACCAAAAAACCAGACCAACACACCCTGAAGTGGGTCATCTTTCTCTTCATTCACTGAGCTTTCAGAGTGTTTCATCATCGCTCATGTCCCAGATCTGAAATGGAAAAAGGAAGAAAAATGCTATTCAGTATCTTCAGTGCTCTTTCATATCATTTATACAATTGGTAATTTCAGGTATGGCATAACATAGACAGCCTCTTTCTTACATTAAATTATGAGGCAGCAAACGCCAGAGCTTTTACGTTGTTATTATTATTATTATTACTACTACTACTACTACTATTAACTTAATTTACAATTAAAACTTTAAACAGAAATTAAAATACAGTACAGTCACAGGAATAGAGTGGGCCCTAAAAACACACATCTCAGGTGTCAAAGGCCAGGGTAAAGAGGTGTCTCATCAGCATTTGTTGGAGGTTATATGAGAGTCCCATGGACTACAAGAAGATCAAACCTCTCCATTCTTAAGGAAATCAGCCCTGAGTGCTCACTGGAAGGACAGATCCTGAAGCTGAGGCTCCAATACTTTGGCCACCTCATGAGAAGAGAAGACTCCCTGGAAAAGACCCTGATGTTGGGAAAGATGGAGGGCACAAGGAGAAGGGGACAGAGGAAGAGATGGTTGGATAGTGTTCTCGAAGCTACCAACATGAGCCTGACCAAACTGCGGGAGGCAGTGGAAGACAGGAGTGCCTGGCGTGCTCTGGTCCATGGGGTCACGAAGAGTCGGACACGACTAAACGACTAAACAACAACAACAACAACATATAGGGAAGAAGCCAGAAGTACCTCTTAGGTGGGAGAATTCCACAATTTTAGGCCTGCCAGAGAGAATGTTTACCCCTAAACTTCTGAGGGAAGCGAAACTACCAAGAGGCACTATTTTAAAAAAAGACTGAGGAAGCTACTTGCAGGCAATCCAATATACCATGCTTGGGCATGCTATGAGAATGATACATAAACCAAGCTGAAACACAAAACAATATTTTTCTAAATTCAAGGTAAATCAGTCTGAAGATTTATTAGAAAAGAGGCAGGTGGAGAATCATCCTGTCCAACATATAATATAAATATGCCAATTATCACAAACAATAAGAAATAAGTTAGCGTAATCCACTTTTAAAAACTTGACAGAATCTGAAACATGTATTCTTCTCTTCATATGGAAACTTATTAGATCTGTAATGTTATTTCAAACAAGTAGCTTGGTAATTAAAGGTGTTATATTGAAAATCCTTCAAAAAGGCAGAGCTTCCCAAACTGTTCATACTGTATGAATTAATATAACTAATGAAATGCAAGTAGATATTTCACGCTCACTTTGCCTGCACATTTATTTGCCAGTTATGCCTGCTGCCTTGGAAATTATGGGGGTGGGAGGCAACAAGGCTCATAATCCATAAGGAATCCTCCCTCCAGTCTTGTTGAAAGTACGAGTTGCTAACTTTCCTTTCTAGAATGGAACTGATCCGGATGAACAATGTGCTCTCTTACAATATACTTGATTCCACTTCATCTCATGGCAACACATACCCAGCTGGAAATACTGTGTGGAAGCCAAAAAGGAATGGAAAAGAAAGATAGTATTTTTCTTGTGCTTAATATTTTAGTTCCATGCTTTGATCATTTGCAGGCTGGGATTTTGTTAGCTGTACACCCCAATCTACGCTTTATACAGTATAAATATGATAATATTTTTTTTAAAAAACAAAAACGGTTAAGTAAGGAAGTACAAAGAAATCAACATAACGCATACAAACCATTCTTCAAAAGCAAAAGATGAGCTCAAAAGGGAGCTTGTACTTACTAAACCACAGTGCTACTTTACTATTAAACTATATGCATGTATCTATTGTAGAGGGAGTACTCAGGATTACATGTGCTTCAGATTTGGTGCCAAAACTGGGCTCTCTTGGAATTTGAATGAAATTCCCTGGATGGGAATGTTTTTCAATTTTGAAGAATTGGTTTTAAAAAGCTGTATTTTGAGAGGTTGAACCTAGACAAACCTCTCGATTTAATAGACTGTTGCTTTTTCAGTTACAAGATTCTGCAGCAGCCTACCTCAATCTAGTGCCTTCAAAATGTTTTGAACTGGAACTCCCATCAGCTCCAGCGAGAATGACCATTTGGAAGGCACTAGGTTGGGGAAGGCTTGCCCTACAGTAACCAAAGAATTTAAACTAGGTATGAAGAGACTTTGCAAATAGAACAAATATTCAAGGCTGACCTTGCAATCTGCCAACTCTGCCATTCTCTAATGTGCAGATAGCCAACATGGTGCTCCCCAGATTTTGCTGGATTACAGCTGCCATATTGGGGTTCAGTTGGTAGTTTGCAAGAGGCAGTTAAACTGATGCTGTTGCTCAAGACTATGTAACTTGCGAGGTTTCAGTTACAACAATTTGCTGTCACATTTGGCTTTTATATGATTCAGTAGAATACGAAAAGGTCAAAATATAGCAGATCATTTTGTGGGACATTCCATTCAAATTTATTGGTAAATAGTTCTAGGCCAATGGGGGTTCATCATATTAGTGAAAATGTGGCAACTGTTTGGAGAGAATAAAAGGGCAGGCTAAGCGCTGTAAAAGGGTTAGTCTTTGATATATCTCTTCACCGTCTCCCAAACAACTTAAGCAGCAGCAAGATTCCAGAGAGGGGATAGGAACTGAGAAATCACTGTTGCTATAGGCAACAGATGATGCAGCAAACACCTTAAAGCTGAAATAACAGAAGGCAGAAGCTAAGAAGGATTCCAAGTGGGGAAGAAGAGTCCAGCAGCTGTCATTTTGAAGACCAGAAGTCAGTGAACTCTGGTAAAGACTTCAGTAAAGCTTGTAAGGTAACTGCAGCAAAGAAAACCTGATCAGAGACAGAACTGAGGCAAAGCTAGACATAATTTCAGGAGAGATCATGAACAGGGAAATCATAAGCTCAATGTCAAATTAAGGCTAGTCTGTAAGAAAAAGTACACACCTGAGCAGAATACATGAATGTTCCAGTCAGGTATTGGCTTTTAAATATTAACTTGGGAGTTTAAATTTCAGGTTCATATTAAGCCCATGCAGGACTATGTATCTACTACCCCCGTATGTGTGAAATTATCTTGTACAACAGGAAGGAGATAAAAACAGGGCTTTACCCTTTCTTTTCCTATTCATTCACAGCTAAAAACAATTCTAGGTGAAGCAAATGTTTTTATGTGGAACAATGAAGGCTTTTCACCTGCTTCCTGCAACAAAGCTGCCTGAAAACAATTACTAACTAAAGCAGAAGTGGAAAAACATATATCAAGAGTAAGAAAACTTTAGCAATTCAGTACAAAGAATGAAATGTAAGGTTGAGGGCATGTGTATATTACAAAATTATTTATTAATATAGAATAAATCTATAATAAGGATTTTCTTCTCTTCATGCATTACATGTTCCTAAAACTTTGTGTACAGGAACTTCTGAAGTAAGACGATAAGGAGTGCATTGCAGGGTCTGGTGAAGGTCCACAGAATTCTGCATCTCCAACCACAGCCAGCTCAAGGCCGCTCACTGTCCAGGCTGTATGGGTAAAAATGACTACACTGAATATATAAATAAGGAATGAAATGATAAAGAGAAAGGGTGTGTTAGGTTGTTACCAGGTGAAGTAATTGCCTAGAGTAGCATTCATATTAAAGGCAACGTCAGAACAGACTTCGTGAAAAGTCTGCAGGTTTTTAACTGCACAGCAGCTAACAAGATGATTGTGCCTTTCCTCAACTTGGTAAGCTTCTGTACATCTTCCACTGCATCAGTTTACTCCCAAGTTTACAAATTTCCTCACTCCAAATTCAACATTTGTTCCCTTTATTTCGTATCTTCCTTCTTTCCCCTTATTTTTAAAGATTCTTTCATTTGGAATTTTTGCAGCTAAATATGCAGACCTTGTTTCTCCACATTCAAAATACCCTGTGGGGAGCTGGCGGAGCAGTTTGACTTCACCTTCCCGACCGAGCCATACTCCACTGCCTCTCGAGGCAGAAGGATGCCAACAATACTTTGGTGAATATGGAATGTTAAGCCAAACCATGGGAAAGTGTGAACGCGTAAGTATGTGAATACTCACAGTCAGAGGCTCTAACTACTGAAAAAGATTGTGGGGCCCCAACATGACATCCTGACACCATGTGCACAACATCACAAGGAGCCAGGGGGAGGAATCGAATGTGGTGCCCCCCATCATCCCCTCTCCCACTGCCATGCAAGGAAAGGATGAGGAAGTTGCCCCAGCCAGTGGTGGTGAGATGTCAGTCACCGAAGCAGGACCACGCCCTCTTCTGCCCTGGGAACAATGGGGGGCAGCCATCTCAAAAAACATTGGGGGTCCCAAAGTGCCTCAGCCCCTAGGAGTTGGCACCTATGCTCACAGTAAATGCAGCAGGTGCTTCTCTGCTCACCAGTCGTCCTGCTGCTGCTATGCTACTCTGAGTGAAGTCGTGGTGTGGCTTAGTGTTAATCCCATTTCACTGTGTGTGATTGTGCATTCATATTTAGCCTTGGTTTGGCTTAGCGTTATGTGCAAACCAGGCCATCATCTGCTGGGTTTTAATTATTACCTGGATGCCAATTACATATATCCAGTTGTATCTTTTATTCTCCCACCACTTTCTCTCTTGATTACAATCTTTTTAATTTAACAACTACAACACAAAATCAACTTTTATTGAAGTGCATCTGTCACTTACAGCATGTTGCTATGTGCACTTTGCACATAAAATCATAGAGCGGAAGGGACCATGAGGATCATCTAGTTCAACCACTTGCAATACAGGAATCTTTCACTCAATGTCGAGCTCGAACCCACAACCCTGAAATTAAGAGTCTCATGCTCTACCGACTGAGCTATCCCTCAGGAGTATAAATGATTTGTCTCATTTATGCATATCCAGTGGTACCTCAGGTTACATATGCTTCAGGTTACATACGCTTCAGGTTACAGACTCCGCTAACCCAGAAATAGTACCTCAGGTTAAGAACTTTGCTTCAGGATGAGAACAGAAATCGTGCTCCAGCGGCGTGGCAGCAGCAGGAGGCCCCATTAGCTAAAGTGGTGCT